TCTGGCCTCATGGGTCAGATGAGTGGCACAGGGCCAGTTCACTGCCTGGATCACACCTGTAGACCAGCCCTGCATTCTGGATCCAGTATGTGTCCTGAAGTGGCTGGAGCGGGTGCCATGTATGGCACAGCTCTGCAGCAGCCACTCTGAGACATGAGCTCAAGCAGGTACCACATGCAGTACACAGAAGCATCGGGTGCCTCCCACATGCTGTCTATGCATCAACTCCGAGACCCATGGCAGCACTAGAGACTGAATTATAGGCTTCCAAGGGCTTGATCTGGCCCACAGGTAACTGGCACTCTGGAACTGATGTATGACTGGAAGGCATAAGGTTACTATGGCAAGGAGGGTGGGACAGGAACCCAGAACAAGAAGTTTAGAACCTAGAACCATAAAGTCTAGTAACAACAGGACTAAAAAGCATGTAAGAGACATCTGGCTAAATCATTCCAGAAGCCAGGGGTGGGAGTGATGTGTCAGATTATCCCATTCAGCTGCCTGGAAAACTTTGCAAGCAATGTCAGTGCAGAACGCAAAGGCTACAAACTCACCAACATTATGTCACTTAAAGTGACCCTGAGAGACTGGACGGTTCAAAGACACTGGTAACATCCAGCAGCTCTTTGGCAAATAGCTGTTTGTTTTATACTCGACAATAACTGCACCACAGCTGTCTCTCCCAGTGGGCAATATCAGAAGTAGTTGAGGGTTTTGGTGTGGAGGGCAACTGACTTGAATATATTTCCAGAATGGGACTGGGACACACAAGGCAGAGTATGAGGAAGCCAGCACTATGGAGATCAGATTCCCATGTCAACTATCTAGTGCAAATCAAGTGCCTGGCCCATCAAAAGAACAGCTCCCCAAGAAATCAGCTTTGCAGATTTTCCTAGTTTGGTAGGGATTGGTAGCAGAGGCTCCCTCCATCTGCTCAACTAGGGCTCAGAGAGGCGGCGGGCCCTTTGGGATTGCATTCAACATCTTGAGTTCAAGATCTGCTGGTAAAACTTGCATCAGCTAACTACCTGACATGAAGGCATTCACTCTGGTATTCCATAATTTAATGATCTCAAAGACAGAAGCCGAACCCAGGCCCTTAAAACCTGAGTCTTTCTTCAGCCCACATCCCTCCCTCCCTGAGAGCAGGGATCACTGCTTACTGTGCATGGGCAGCACCTGGCACATAGGGGCTCCTATCTCTGGAGGAGATTCTTGGTCCAAGCTTTATGACAGTATCAAGAGTTTATCTTTTTAATTTCAGTAACTTTGGACAATTGACAGCACTTCATGTCTAGGCAGTTTCCTGTTTCTCTTCCCCATGTGAAAGAAACATTCTGGAAAACACGTCTCCCTCAACACATGTGCTTAGAAGTTATTCAAGTGAGTAAGCTGGGAGGGGTTCCAAGCAATTTTGAACACAAAATCAAAATTCCAATGATCTTGATAAATTGAGGGAACGTGTCAAAAAATCATGATGATAAAGTTGAAACGCACAGAGTGCCAAGTACTACACCTGGAACAGAGAAGTCGAATCATAGAAGTAGGGTCGGAAGGGACCTTGTAGATCTTCAAGTCCGACCCCCTGCCTGGGCAGGAGGAAAACTGGGCTCAAGTGACCCCAGCCAGGTAGGCATCGAGCCGCTTCTTAAAGACCCCCAGGGTAGGAGCCAGCACCACTTCCCTTGGAAGTTGGTTCCAGATCCTAGCCGCCCTGACTGTGAAGTAGTTCTTACAGATGTCTAATCTAAACCTACTCTCCAACAACTTGTGGCCGTTATTCCTTGTTATCCCGGGGGGTGCTAGGGGAAACAAGGTCTCCCCCAAACCCTTCTGGTCCCCCCCAGTGAGTTTAGAGACAGTCACCAGGTCCCCCCTCAGCCTTCTCTTGTGAAGGCTGAACAGGTTCAGGTCCCGTAGCCTCTCAGTGTAGGGTCTGCCCTGCTGCCCCCTGATCATGCGGGTAATGTGCAGACACAACGGTAAACAAACAGGTAGTCAGCACTGAAAGATAAAGGATCAGAAGCGACAGGACTTGATACAGTCCAGTTGCAAACAAAGAAACCATTAACAAAAATATTGTATTTTAGACAGGGGAAGTAATTATTCTGTTCTATTCTGCCCCCGTGAAGAGTCAGCTGGAGTACTGGACCCAGGTTTGGAAACTGCACTCTAAAACACAGACTAATTGGAGACAGTACAGAAGAGAGCAGCAGTGACAAAAAGCAGTTAGGAAACTATGATTGATGTGGAAGTGTTGAAGGAACCAGGTTTGTTTATTTCAGAGGAGGTAAAATTATGGGGAAAACCAAGTCTTACAACACAAAAATGGTTATCAAAGAGGACATCTATTTTCCTTCCCTCAGTGGACATGGACAAAAAGAAAACTTAATTTGCAAGGAAGTTTTAAGTTAGATATTGGTGGCGGGGGCAGGGGGGGAAGGAGAGGGAGAGAGAGAGAGAGGACTATGTCTGTACAACATTATGTCCCAATTGCGGGGAAGCAATAGAACAGGCTACCCAGGGAGGGCACGGAGTCTCCTGCATCCAGAGGTGACCATAGCAGTGTGCGGGGCCCAGGGCAAATCAGCCCATGCAGGACCCCACCCCTGCTCCAATCCCAGACCTGAAGAAGCTGCTGCCACCATTGGCAATAGCGGGGGGTGGGGTGGGGGTGGGGATAGCAAGCAGCTGAATGCTGATCCACTGCGATGCTCTGCCCCGCGCAGCGCCCCCAAAGTACAGGGCCTGGGGCAGTTGCCCTGATTCACCCCTGCCTGCACCAGATACTAAGAACAGATTAGATTAGACAAATGTTTCCTGAGGGACAGGTTAGGTGCATTTGAACCCTATCACTGACTCTCTCTCTCTCAAGGTTCCTTCCAGGCCTCCATTTTTACAATTCTCCAATTTCAGTTTCAACAAGACTAAGTTAAATGTATGCCTAAAAGTGACCAAAGAACAAACCGCTTAATTGTAAAGCCATAAGCAGTGGCAAGGGGACTCAGACGCAGATATAGTGCCCCAAACAAATTTTTGCTAATAAGGAGGCTTCAACTGGACAGTGCTGTTTTGAAGGTATTCAATGGAGTATTGAAGTATTAAAGCTTGCAGCACAGTGACAGCTTGTGGTGGACTGGTGGTTCTGCAGTCTATTACTCAGCTATTATTCCACACAGCTGTCCCTCACGGAGGTAAGGGAGTTAATGCTCCCATCTGTGCAACCCACCACCCCATCTAGCACATCTAGACAAGTGAGCATGTGCCTCTTGCAGCGTCTCAAAACAGTGTGAGATGCCGCAATAGGCATGCCAAGAACAAAAAAAAAATGTTCCCTGTACTGCATATTTGCAGTGTGGGCTCTAAATTTGATACCTGGAAGAACACAAATTTTGGGTATTTTAATGAGAATTTGGGTTTTTTATCAAGAGAATTAGCAGTTTTTAAATAGGAAACAGCAGGATCTCTGCTGGTGAGGCAAGTGGCAAGAGCCAGGCAGAGGAGCCTGCCCAGGGCCAGCACTGGGGACCCAGCTGGAGGGCAGACGAGGTGGCTGACCACTTTGCCATTTGGGGCCAAGAGGACATGCTTTCACAGTTCAAAGCAGGCCACCACAAAGAGCACACCTTCTGGGCAATAGCTGCCCAGATGGCAAAGCAGGGCCACCAGAAGATGTGACAGCACTGCTGCCCGAAGGCCAACTGTGCAGCTATGGCCCACTGGTAGCTGGCCCAGAAGTGCAGCAGGCTCTGCTGTAGTGGGCCATATCACAGCCCAGGTGGCTGTGCAGTCCCTGTCCATGTGTGGCTAACACGCAGATATGGGGCCACAGGTACCCAAGAGGGCAGATGCTGTAGCAGGTGGCAGGTCACAGCCAGGCAGCAGCCCCCACTGCCAGACTGCTGCAGTGGGTAGAGGGTGCAGGGGACACTCTAGGTTAGGGCTGCTTCAGCAGTCCAGCTGGCACAAGGGAGAGTGTCCCCAGATACCTACTAACTGTCCCTCAGAAGGTCCTGAGGGCAAGTAGCCCTGAGCTGCTCACCAGGGCAGGTTTTTTATATTGCTGGGACCAGCACAGGGCAGGTTTTTATACTATTGGGTCTAGCACAGGTGCTGGCCTCAGCTGCTAGCTCCCCCTGGCTGAAGATCCAGGAGGAGCTGGGCAGGGTCAGTTTGGCCCAAGTGACACAATTTGCCCCACACCAAAGTATATGTTCAGGCACGTGTGCTGAGGCAGAAATCGCCAGCACAAATCCGTGCTGCTGCTATCTGAGCTGTTGGAAGTGCACATGCCTGCATGCGTGGATGCACCCATGGAGATAAAGGTTATGTAACTTCAGCCAGGAGGTGGAGAGCATGGAGATGCACATCAGTTATTCCTACTCTGGAATGGTGCTCATGAGAGATAGAGGGGGATGTTGAGATCAGTTCCACAAAGAGGTAATTAAGCTCCATATGTCAACTGTGTCCACTGCCTTTCCTCTCCCCCCCCCAATCCAGGGGACACTTCATTCACACCTCACCCTCTCCTTCCTCCTCCTATCGGACATTTCCCCAAATTTGGCTTAGATGCTCCTCTGGGAGAAAATGTCTTGTTTGGTGACTTGAAGGTGAAGGAAGTGAGAGTGAAAGATGAGACCCTGAGGAACCTGGGTTAGGCCCTTAAAGAACATGAGGTTGTTTCCTCCTTCACTGTCACCAAGACCTGCTCTAATTTCTTGGCATGTAAGGCAGAAAAATGAAAGATCTTACATTGTCCCAAAATGCACAGTTTGGCATATAGAAAAACGGCTGGAGAAAGAATACAGGCCAAAGATGGACCCAGCAAAGTCCTCCCTTGGACAGCTATGCCCAAGCAGCTTTATTTGATATGCAGGTCCTGCTGCTATTCTGACTCCGAGCCTACCACATCACCTTGACAATGTGGATAACTTCACCTATATCCCCCTCCACCCCATCCCGAGCAAGACTTCCTATGCCAAGCAATGTAACTTCTTTACCTGGTTACAGTGAAGACACTGGTGTTGCTGAAATTGGAGTCACTCGAGGTATCAAGGGAACCTAATGGAAAAGAAGTGGCACTGTAAGTGTTAAAGCAGCATGTCCCACATGACAGAGCAGGAGGAGGGGACACTGAGCATGCCTCAACCTGGCTGGCATCTGGCACAATACTGTCATTGGTTTGTCCTTTGGTCTTTGGGCAAAATCTTGACACCCCATCTAGACACCACTCCACACTGACACTGTTCACTGACCTAGTTCTGAATACTGTTACAGTTTCTTTTCCCTAGTGCCAACTACTGGAAGAAGTTAGTAGTAAGGACACTGGTCATCAGCAAAAGCTAAATCTACAGCTTTCCAATTTCTTGACACCAGATATTGCCACCAGCTATATGTCTACCCTTCAGATGTCACTCTTTGCAGAAAATGAACACAGCCAGGATCAAGGCTAGGAAACTGCTTTCCCAATTTCCAAGAGGGGAAACATTCAATCTTGCCCCAAATATAGTCTGTGGAACCGACTGGCAAGGATTGCTTTCTCACCTAAGGAAAGACAGGCCTACAACCATATGCAGATATATGAGTCCAAATGAAGGTGTTTGTAGTTGGATGACCTGCCCCAGTACCAAGTGTGGCTCTGACCAGTCTACTCATGGGCAAAAAAAAAGGGGCAAAAAAAAAGGGACGAAGCCAAAACATCCAAAAGGTTCTCTCACTCTAAACCCCCAGAACAGCCTCTTCTGGATCAAGGCCTGGCCCTAATGGGAGGGCTCAAAGTCACTGCCCACAGTCACTCCAGGGGAGGACAAGGCCTCTGTCAATTAAAATGTTAATATAACTACACTTACTCCCTCCCAGCAGCTTTCTGGAGTCCACTCGAACAATGCTTTACAAGCTATTGTGATTCTAGGTTAAGTCATAAAAATCCACTTGCTGGTCTACTGCTTCCCCAACCTCAGCTAAATGTAATGTCACCATTGCACTGTGTACAGCAGGGATGATCTACACTTCTGCTCTTCAAAGCTCAGCTCGTGATTAGCTCAGAATCACTGAAGAACTATGTGAGACAGCCTCTGCAACTCAGCCAGCAGCCTAAGGGAGGATGAGAGGCACACAGGGTACCAGTTTACAATAGGCTAGTAGCTTGTCAGCACAGGCCTGAAGAATCAAAGCTATTTTACAGCCCCTACTTGGGAAGGAACATCTAGGGATGTGCATTTTGTACAGAAAACCCACACGTCAGTATAAACTGGGTTACGTTTTACAACATCATGCCTGCTTTGACTGGGAATGAATTCCTGGGCTCTTGCCCAACTAGTAGGAATTCTGAACACCAAACTTCCAGAAAAGGATGGGGGTCATTTAGACACGGTCTCTGTGATCATCATTTGCCCAGCGCTTCTATTCACACACAGTGATGTTGCCACATCAGCAGCAAAGTAACAAAAGTAGGAGACCATTAAACGACAGTGTGCTGGGGAGAGCAGGGCAATGAGCAATTTATCTTTCATGCAAGGTCTGAGCTAGGGAAGCTAAAGGAAAAAAGAAGAATCAAAGCAATTAAGATCCACAAGGGCATTTTTTATTTAAAAGTTCCCCTGTACCTTTAAATCTGATTTAATAAAGTTTAAAAATTTTACAACCAATCCTCAGGAAAAGAACTTAATTGGGAAGGAATTTTTTTAGTTAGGGCAAAGCAATAATTTTACCTTAAAAAAATTTAAAAAGAGAAAAGAAAAAAGAAATATAAAAAGAATCTTATTCTTGTATTGGCCAGGAATCAAACCCAAGCCCCCTGCATGGCAGGTGAGAATTCTACCACTGAACCACCAATGCTCCAGCTGAAAGAAATACTGTTCCAGCTGTTTTCTTCCCAACTGCACATGGTGCACACATGGCAAAACTCAACAAGGATCAGGTTACAGTTCTGCTACAGGAATCTTTAGTATTGGCCTTATTTTAATAACTGCTGGGTTTCAAATTTTCAAGACAAGTAGTCTAAGGACCTTCTTTTTTAGTTTTGCTCTATATTTTGGTGCTTTTCCCCCCTCCTACCGGCCATTTTCAGACTGCTACAGGGAACTGTTTCTCCACAGTCCACTGGGGAATCATAACAAGAGTATAAAATACTCGGAAGAATGGACAGCAAATATAAAACTATCAATAGCCATGACTCAAATATGAAAAAAACTGTGAACCAATACTAGATGCCTCTGGAGGTAGGAAGCCATGCTGGGTACAGAAGAGATTCATCTGAAGTTCAAGCTTGCTCCCCACACTTTGGTGCATTAGGCTTGATGCCCAGGGCCTTAGCTTAGTGGTGCACTCCAGGAGATGGGTTTTAGTTTCTAAATGTTGGGGTAACTGGGCCTGGGCATTTCAACTCTGAAAATCAGCTCTGCCACCTGTGAAACAGGCCTGGGCCAGCATGTTACCTGTCCCAACCACAAGGAGACAGATTCTTGGGTTTGGTCCCAGAACCTACCCCTGACTATGAGTCTGGGACAACCTTTTTGCTTTCTTCCCCCCCCCCACAACTCTAAAAATAGAGATACCCCCATACTGAGAGGGCACTATCCGGTTTCCTCAATGCTAGCAGTAGTGTACTCTGAAATGTCCATAGTCTGAAATGTCCATAGTGAAGGCTCTACAGGTAGGGGGCAGTTGTGTGAGAAGTGATGGTAAGATTGTAGCATGCACCTATTTACAGAAAGCAAAACCAGCACAGCCCTGAACAGGCTAATAAGAACCAAACTGGAAAGGGATGTTGTCCATTTGAGATCTAAGCCAATTTTTGAAAAGCTAATTTTCAGGCATCTGGTCTTGCCCTTGAAGACCCTGTCAGTTTAAGGTACTACACATTTTCATTTCTCTTAAGAAAAATTAATTTCCCTGTTGCTGCATGCATAATCATACAATTGATCAGGGACAAACCACAAAACTACACTGGAAACTCTTTGGAGCAGCTTTGTTCTGGGTTTGTATATCACTGCATGCTGGGCTCCTAGCTGCAGCCCAAACAGATGCACACATAGCATACTGTTAGATGCACAATATTAATTGGCTAAAAAAGGTCTTCCTGATTTTCCAGGTGTCATATTACTGTTAAATGTCCCAGCGGCTGGCAGGTGGTAAAGTCTGGGAACACATTTACACATAGACATGGTTACTACTTGGGTTGCATAGACTATTAATCTATGCAACCTAATAAAATGACCACTATGACCAAAGTGCAAAGTAAGAATCATGTTTTAGACTATATGCTAATTATATAGCAGCATGAGAAAGTCAGACAAGCAAAATGTGAAGCAGTTCCACAGCCATTAAGAAAATTCAGGAGCAGCTTCCACAGGCTACAGCTGCATTGTAGCTATTTGACTTAACTCTTCAGGGCAAGGACTGTTGAGCACAGACTGCTTCTTTTAAGGAGCTGGCAAGTTATTACTCTCTACACCACTAGTTACTTGCATTAGGATAGTGCTTCGACCCAATCTGGACTGGCTGCTCATTGGGCTGGGTGCTGTACAAACACATATCAAAAGCACCTGGAGTTTTTGGCTGAAGGCAAAGTTGTGAAAGAGCACTTCAAGCGCAAGAAAACCTAATATTTTTTTCTTGCATTCAGCCTACAAAGGGACTACAAAGGGACCACAAAGGGACCAAATCCAGAGAGGAAGACGGGCTCAATTTCTTTGGATGGATCATCTTTCTTGTTCTCTCAGGTCAGCAAAACAATGAAGGCATCCATCTTGTACTTAGCAGGTGTTTTGCCTACAAGCCCAACATTCCTCCTGAGAGCGCACTAAGGTCCCACTCAGTGTCACTCTTCAGAAGCAGCCCTGGCTAACCAGGTCAAGGAAGTACCTAAAGGATAATTATCTAGCCCTTGCCCAAGCCCAGATAAAAAGAAACTCACCACTGGAGGGCACCTCAGGCTTGGAGAGAGACTCCTCTGAGTTGGCTTCTGTTTGCAGGCTCATGGATTGCTTGGCTTCATCTGTTTCATCATCTTCTGGGATGACAAGCTTCATCAGGCTCTGGTTACACACATTGGCCACCTCTTTGATGTCTGGGCAGAGAGGATGTAAGGAGCATTTTGATCTAAGGGTGTGTACTCAGTGCAGCATGTTGGATGAACCTATAGCAGATACCCACAACACAGAACCACCTGCCCTTCTCCTGGGTCAGTCACTCTGGTGTTCTGCCAGATGGACTAAGAACTTTTTGGGCACTTATTATCCAGGATGGGGATGAGAGGAGGAACAACAGTGAATCCTTGGTGTCCTACCTCAGCAACCCTTGGTCTCAACTAGCTGCTCCTCTGCGAACTCAGCCCCCACATACCACAAGGCCATAAGCTGGAAGTTTACCTGCTAAATCTGTACTAGGAGCAGCCAGTGCTCACATTAAAGTGGGTTAACATCCCATAAAGACGTAATGAATGTCCCATGAAGTGCACTGGGCAGCTCACACTTCTGAGGAAAGCCAGCTTCAGTAGAAGAAGGGACTATTCATACACTGGTGTCCTACTGCCCCAAGAGCAGCAGTGTTTCTATGCTAACCACCACTGACTAGTATCAAGGGCCAGCAGCGGCCCCATTACAAATGCAGCAAATGACTTGCTTCCTCCCCAGCTTTAGCCTCAAACATTTGTTCTTTACCCTTCCACAAGTCTGCCTGTGATACCTAGGCACAAAGGAAGAAAATCAGTCATCCTGGACACCACGACTCATTTCTACCCCAAAACTGTCCCTCCCTTCCCCAAACCTAAAAAGCCACAAGCAGCTCTTCAAGGAGCTTTACCAGTGTCACCCCAAATGCTGGTACACAGCAATCTGTGCTTGGCGAAGAACAGACGTCTGAGGGGAGCGAACGACACTGGAACTTGACAGCAGCCTCTGTTGGCCCTGATCTGGGTAGCAAGGATACTCTTCTTGCGGTCATCATAGGATAGACATGGCAGAACTGCAGTCAGGATCCCAGAGGAGTAGGGCAGCATCACCCGGCCAGCCAGCTGGATGAACTCCCTCATCCAACACATGGCCGTAAGCTGTATCAGGTCATCTAAGAGACATGGACCAAAGGAAGAGGTGAGGAAGAGGCAGACTGCTCCCTGCTGTTCAAATCACCACATGTTTACATGCATGAAACTAGAAAACAGAAGCAAGGTGTCATCCTGCTATAAAGAGAGAGAGAGGAGTGTGGGGTGCTCAAAAGGAAATTTGGAGCTCAAAAGGAGCTCAAGCTCCTTTCCCCCAGAATCCCAGAGTAACTGAAGGTTGCTTGATGACAGTAGTGAGATCAAATGAACACTTTATTGTAATCATTAGGCTTCAGAGTTTCCAGGCAAACTAAATTACTGAGGGCAGTCTGACATCAGTAGGCATTTAGATAAAGTTCCTAACTGGTACTTAGGCCCCAGACATTAAAAGGTATTGCACAATTAACTGGTTAATTGTGCAGTTACCTGGAGACCAGCTACACGTGCAAAATAGCTATCATACAACAAAAAGCTCCAGCCAGGTATAAAGTTAGTACTCTACTAACTTAATAGCTAGCTGCTATTGAGCTTTAATTTGCACATGTAGCAGGGTCTCCCCTGCAGCTTGGAGCCCTGTCAGCTGACAGGGCTCCCAGATGCCGGGGAAAAATGCCCAGATGCCAAATCCCAGATACCTAGTGTAAAACTCTCAGGCCTTGTGGATCGAGGCAGCCACAACCCCCTGGGGTCGGGGATGCATGAAACTCCCAGGTCCAGGTTGGGGATGTGGGAAACTGCTGGGGCTAAAGGATTGGTGCTACAGCAATTCCCCCTGACCCAGGGGTTTCATGTACTGGGGTGCATGGGACTCCCAGATGTGGGAAACCTGCTTCTTGCTGTTGCAGGGGGAACCCAAGACTAGGCTTCCACTGCACCAGCAATAAGGAATGATGGGATCTAATGCACAATCCCACAATCGTCATGCCTTTAGCTGCACTTGTAGAGGGGGGCCTTACACAACTAAGCAGCCTCCATAGTAAAGGTTCACACATAACCTAAGTCAGCCCCCACCCAGAACAGGGGAAGGAGCACAGGTCTTATGTTGTTTATACTCCACTTGATAAAGCAGGTGTCACAGGTGCCTTCCTGAAGACTTAGGCAAACAGCACTGCATTGGGTCACATCCAGGTGCTCTCCATGTCCACAAGAGCCAAGAGAAGAGTAAGTGCTTGTATATACTAGCATGTGCCAGCCAGGGGCTTTTAGACTGCAGCATCCTCTGCTAGCATAAGTGAACATTAGCGTAGGCAGAAAAGGCCTCTATTGGCATAGGGGGAGCAACCCAGGTAAGCTGCAACACAGCAAGCCAGGCCTTAGTTTACCCTGTTTCCTCCTGTGTTTCACTACATCAGTGCAGCCACAGCAGTGTCTGGCTGCAGTTGGGGTAAATCCCAAGAAAGAACAGACAAAGACATAGCAACGCTCTTCAAAATGCAGGGAGGGAAAGCCCCAAATTGCTACAGCAATAAATTGACAAAACCAGACTGGTTTCTAAGGCCTGGTCTCCACAGTTATATCAGTTTAGCTATAAGCATTATTTCACATTAGTATCAATTGGACTGAACACGTACAACTATGCTGGAACATCCCATTAAGTTAGACCCGGCTTACAGGCTTAGCCAATGTTAGTGAATTTACAAGCAGTTTAAACAGATTCACGGTTAAACTGAAACAAGTTTGCCCATGCAGGGGCCTATACACAATTCAATCAATTACAATGTTCAAGTGATTTAAGTTGAATCAGCATGACTTATGTGTAGACAAGACCTTTCTCAGACAGTCCCCAACATTACATGTGTCCATTCCCCTGTGAAGGTGATTGCCCAGTAGGTATCTATAGAATCCACAAGATGGCACTTTGCCACAGAGTGGGCTGTGACATCTCTGGACACTACAGAAACACCAGAGGCAAATGGGGGTGCTAAACTTTCAAATATCAGAATGCCTAAATCCATATAAAGGGGTTTTACTGGTAAAGGTGCTGAGCTCCAGCTGAATTCTCCTACCCCCAAGTTCTAAAGACAACCAACTGTTTGACAGCAGATTTGAACTGCATTTCCAGTGTAATAGATCAGCAACAGTGTAAACAGCAATAATGTGTAGGAGTAACAGCATGGAAGGCTCTGGAGCACTGCAGCCCACTCAGGAAGTCAGACCAACTTGCTCAGATATGCACTGCTTGAAGCCTTCTGACATCTGCCCATTCACACCTCTCAGCAGGGTTTCATGCATGTGACTCCAAAATCTTTCAGTCTAATAAATCAAGGAAGAACCTGTCTGAGCAGAGGCATTTTGCTGAGCATGAGATCCTCCTGATAGGGCAAGCAGCAGAACTTCTCACCAGAGAAGAGATCAGCATCTGAATTTGAAAAGTCTCGGATTGTTCAAAGGTCACTGTTGCAGGAACAGTTAACAGCCACCCCCCAGAGAAGTAAAAGTTTGTGATGCTATCATAGCACAATATCAGGCTGCTTTTCTGCTTCTGTCACTCTACTACTTGATGTTTGGGTGGAAGGGGCTATGGAAATAATGTGATTCACCAAGCATCACACTGAGACAAGTAGTACTCCTCAAGCTAATAGATGGAGGAACAAATTATGAGGTTCTATTATTGAATCAGCGAAGGAGCAGCTCCAAAAGGACTCTGTTGGGGATGCACCCTGCACCTACTGAAGTAAATGGGCAAGCCCTCATGGATTTCAGTTTGCAGACAGATGGAACCTGGCACAAAGTACTGAACTATGGGTTCCAGTGTCACTATGAAACCCATTCTCCTCTGGTCTTAATCAAATAATTTCCACAGGACACTGTCATTTCCATAAGGTAGCAAATTCCCAGGACAAGGGCATTTCTAAGTCTTTAATAAGACAGCTCATTTCCTTTATAAAATACATGTTCCCTCCCAAGCAAGACCTGGTGCTTGACCATGAGCAAGTCATGTCCCAGCCCCACTGCTTTGCTATTGCTTGGGTTTTTAGTCTTCTCTTTGGTAGAAGGAAAACTGAAAGGAGAACAAAACAGAGGCCTCTAAAGCGTTAACAGACTGGAGTCGTGAATCAGAGGTTTTGTTGCAGTACTGATTCCAATGCCCAGGCTCCATTTCACACGCTCACCAGAGGCCTGACAGTGAATCACTAGAATATTGGCCATCTCTGCAAACTTGACGCTGGAGGGATTCTTCTTGATCTCCTTAAGGAATTCCCCAAGTGCTACTTCACACCTGCAAGAAGAAAGGACATTCAAAAATTATCTTGCTCTACAGAAACAGAGGACTACATAGGCCAAACTCCTGAAATCAATGAGCCAAAGCTTCACCCATCACACATGTAAAGCCTCACTGACAGACAAGCTACAGCAGTCGCCTGCACTAGCAGTGGTAAGTACCCATCCTAACAAACATTGTGCTAATTTTGCTACATTACAGATTCTCTTTGGAGTTGACTTGAGATATCTGTGCTTGAAGGAACTCCTCATGTGAACTGTGGTGTGGCTGCTCTCACATTAACTACACAAAGCAACTGCATCCCCTCTAGCTGAAGCATCAGCAGCTCTCTCAAGCATCAACTGACACCCAAAGTGTGCCAGCTGGATCGAGCTCAGGGGGTGAGAGAGAGAGAGAGAGAGAGAGAGAGAGAGAGAGAGAGTGTGTGTGTGTGTGTGTGTGTGTGTGTGTGTGTGTGTGTGTACGTACACACAAGTGGGATTAGGGACAACATTCAATATACATATGTTACAGATCTATGCTGGCAGAGCCTCCTAGTGGGGAGAGAGTTCAGGCTAGCAATTTTTCCTGTCTCTATAGTGCCTCTCGCTTCTTAAACTGTGTCAGTCAAATTGATGAAAGCCCCGTCTGTAAAGCTACATGTGCATTAGAACAGCAATACTGGTATAACAGCCCAGGCAATAGCTAAACCACAATCTGACACTACAGTGAAGACCAGCTCACTGCAAGCTCCTGACCTCACTGACCCAGTAGACAAATAATTGGCTCTGGGTCCATCTTCACTGCACAGCTAACTCAGGAACTTAACCAGGTTTTAGCCCATTCCTCTTGCTACCCCCAACACAGAAGTCTCCAATCTAGCTTTGCACAGGCTTCAGCAGCAAGGTCATTGGCCCGGCAAGGGGTGAAGGCCCAGATTCCGTTTTCATTCAGGCTGAAACCACCCCATTTTGTTATGGGGAGGCAGAATAAGTCACTCCAGTGCCAAGAGCACTCTAATGCCCTTACTACAATTCTCCTGAAGGCCAAACTGACAGAGGAAAACAAAAGCTATGAGCACTAAAGCACAACTAACGAGATGATCCTAGACACATGCCAAGGCAAGTGAGGAAATAGTGGGGACAAATTATGTGCATAGGGCTTTGCCATGGGGTCATTCCTACCTCGGCTAGGCCATTCTAGGGGCTTATCAGGCAGGCTAACTGTGCCCTACAAATGAGCCTAGGCATTCTGTACAGGTGTGAGGGAGCCATGAATCATAGTTATAATTAAAAAACTACATCCAGGGATGATTATTTAATGAAGTCTAACTCAAATGTCACTGAAAAACAGGTGGCAGATATGAACCATATGCTGTAGGTATAAGAATGGTCACTTCTAGCTTCCCCCTGCAGAATGAAGACTGGTAGTTGTCATTCCCTGCTATAAGGGGGCATCTTATTTCCAACAACTTTTTCAACACATCAGCACTCAACTAAGTGATGTATGCAGGGAGACAGCTGTAGACAAACTCCTACTGCCAGATGCAAAACCCAGAAAGGTACCAGCTGGGGACTAGAGAATCTCAGCAAACTACTTCTCTAACTGATTCCTTGTCAAGTAGCATCCATAAGATTTCACTTGAACAGAATCACCAGCCCAGGAAAGCACAGCTTATTTCAGCACGGGCTTGGTAGGAGATGCCCATTCACCCAAATGCTGCTCCTCTAGACTCACATTTTCCGTATTTCTTTGCTGTTGTCTCCCAGGATCTGGAAGAGGCCATCCAGGATCTCCGGCAGGTAATCCAGGAGATTGATGTCAGGTACAGACTCTAGCACTAGGATCTAACTCAGAGAAGAATCAAGACAGACAAAGAAAAAGTCCTTGAGAGTTGCAGGGAAGACTAGAAGCTAAATAAACCAATCAACACATGCCTATCTAGTGAGACGGGGAGGGGTACGTAAACCTGGACTACAGTGAGTGGTAGTGTGAAGAGTAAATGCGCCTCAGAGCAACAAAGTGGTTGCTTAGTGCACTAGGCAACCAAATCAGCAGTTGAAAATGCTTTGGCTCCAAGCCCAACAGTGCTACCAAATCCAAGGCCCTCCACAACACCTTCCCCTTCTATTAACAGGGGGGCACTTACCTAACTTGGAGGCACTGAAAGGCTTGTTAAGTTCTGTTACTCTGAGTGTACAGAGCTCTTGGGCAAAATGTTAACTATCTTCCTTCCACAATTCTGTATGCAGTTAGTAAGGGGACTGGGGAACATTACACAGTCTCCACAACCAACTGCAGGAAACACCCAATGACTCAACATAAAAGGAAGGGCAGGGCTGGAAGAATTGCTGGTTTGCAAGTAGTTCAAGTTAATTTATTCATCTGAACACACAAAGGCTGTGCATCTTACTGCTAGTGCCTGACAGGTGCCTAGATCAAAGATCTTTGATTCTGGATGCCACCAGATCCTTTGAAGGGTGCTACAAGGTGTGAGGAGATAAGCAGGTAAGCCAGGCTAAGGCTTCTGTCTGCCTGGACAATCTTCCACCCTTACTGCCCAAACTCTGTGCAAGGAAGTAAGCACTGAAATACATAAATTTGTATTTGAAATTGGATGCCACTCAAGTTATGGAGGGGTGCCTTGAGTCCAGTGTGGAGTACCCTGCATCCAAAAAGCTTTGACCACTGGCGTAGATACTTGGATGATAGGCATGTTACAAAATAAAACTGCAGCTATATGTAAACAGAGCTGCCAGGGTTTGTGTGAGAATTTCCATGATAACCTGTGGGGAGCTGAGAGGTGGTCTAAGATATAGCAACCTGTGCACTTGATTGAGCCCTGGCAGCGGAGAAGCTGGCACAAGCATTATGCCACACGTACCTACCCAGGATATGATGAACTGCCGGGCATACTGGTTGTTTGAATAAATCCGCTCCCGCAGTAGGGGGATGAAGCTCACCAGATCAAACTTGTTACTCTCAGTCACAATGTCCTACAAAGTCAACAGAATCGCTAGATGTTAAGACAGCACATGCCAGCACTCAGCCTATAGCAGCACTATCAACAGCTAGCCCCAGCCTCCAGTGTAGGAAGAGGGAGATGAAGAGGATATTTGAGAAATCAACAAGCCACCAGCAGATTACCCAGTGCCAGGAACAGGCAAGATCTCACAGCAGTTGGCCCTCAGACCAAAGGAACACTGGCTGATCAATTAGGATAGAGCTGTCCAACTGGTGGCCCACCAGGAGTTAATGCTCCAGGTGTGATGACAGTCAGGGGGCTCTGGGCTCTCACTTCTTAATTCAGGAGGCTACTTCTCACCCCTCTTTTGAGAGCCAGGCTACCTGGGCTGCTGGAGGTCAGGTAGAAACCAGAAGGGTCACTCCCACTGTGCGTGGCTTTGTGCAGCATGTGGCCTAGAGGGCATGCAGCCCTTCACAGTCCAAAAGTTGGACAGCTGTGAATCAAGACACAACCTACTAGACATTCAGTTGACAGTGGCTGATACCTGGTATTTCAGAAAAAGACAGACCTTCTTTCATAATGCACCAGTCCAATGATCTAATACCAAACAGAAGAGATTCCTCTGTGTAGGCACTGATCAGCAAATTTGCCAACAGCATGTGACAGAACCAGCCTTCTATGTAACTAGGTGTTGATGGCCATACCATTACCAGGTTCTTTTTAAGTTCTTCTGAAGTACCTGACTATGCCTTCCTTCAGTAGTGAATCCCCTGGCACCTTCCCCTGACACTGCAAAGGAGAATGTGAGAGTATGGACAGACTCCTCACAAAGTAGGTAGCGCTGAAGGAACCTCTGTATCTTGCTGTTCACGGGACAGAGAACAGGTGCTGAGCTGGCATTTAGGAGCAGAGCAGGGAGCTGGCAAAGATCCGTTTACCCGGAGGAGTAAGAAGAATGAACTGGGAGTGGCTGGAGGCTTCCAAGACAATTACATTGCACATAGAGCAGGAACTAGAATGAAAGGCTCTTACAAGAGAAGACTGCTCTGCTCTTTGGAGACAGCACGTTCACTTACTTATCTAAGGAGCCAACAAGAGGGAAGTGAAAGAGGGAGAGATATCATTCTGTATCTTGGAGGGGAAACACAGCTTCATGATCCTGCTAAGCCTGGCCTGGGCACCATACTGTGGGGCCAAGCCCACCAAGAAGCATTTAATGAGCACTCGCCTATCACTGTATTCAAGTCAGCCACTCCTTCAAACCATTCACATGTTCCTTAGGCAAGGTTCTTTGAGTAGATGTGATATCTTTTTTATTAGACCAACTGAGCAGTTGGAAAAAAGTTCTCAGCAAACTTTTGGGTGCAGTCCCCCTTCTTCGGGCATAGGAAGTCTCTGCTATTCTGAGACTCCAAGGAATGAGAGAAGCTAAAAAAGTGTGACAGGATGTCAGTGAGAATCTAAATAGGTAGAAATTAGGAAAAACAAAAGATAGAACAGGGAAGGAGGAGGAAGCAAAAGCAGGGCTTCTCTTTACTTTTAGCTTCTTTCATTCCTTGGAGTCTCAGAACAGCAGAGACTCCCTATGCCTAAAGAAGCGTGACTGCGCCCTAAAGCTGGCTAAGAACTTTTTTCCAACTACTCAATTGGTCTAATAGAAAAGATATCACATCTACTCAAAGACCCTTGCCTGCCTATGGCCCTAGACCAACATGGCCACAACCAAAAACCCAGCAATATGCTCCTCAGACATTAGAAATCTTAGCACCAGGAAGCTCTCCCAGAGAGCCCCAGCCAAACAGAAAGGGTCCAGGATTTATGTACGCAATGTACATACCACCCTTCGCAAAAGGCTCAGGGTGGCTTACAGCAAGTTTGGCAACAGTCACATGGCAGCACTGGCTGGCACAGCCTCACAGAAATGATGTATCCTTAGCAAGATTCACCTATACAGGTAAGGGGTGAGCCAAGTCAGCAATGCAGGTCCTCACAGGCAGGCTGGGCAAGCATAAACACACAAAGGTGTATTTTGCAATGCAGACCCACCCACATATATATATATTAATAAATAAATAAATTAAAAACAACACACCCTCCCACTCCACAAAAGGCCTCTGAAAAGGCATCCCCAAGGTAATCAGCTGACAGTACCTTGAGCAATCGGTCCAGTAGTTCTGAGCCACTCTTTACATTTGGGTCTGGATCAGCAGCAAGCTGTAATTCACAAAAATGAGAGTCAAGTCAATGTGGGCTCTAGGGAAGATGCATACACATTGTGCATTTGGGCTGTGCTGCCATCATGTCCCAGATTGCTATGGAAAAGCCAAATGGGAAAGAACAAATATCAGATGCCTGCAATGATTGCTCAGCTTAGTCACTTGTTGGCAGCTTCATTTTGGTCTAGAAGTTGAATGAGTTTGCAGGAACCAGCTGAAGAGAGACACCTGCAAGTGGACACAGCTCGAGTGAAAGGCCCCCCAGGCATGAGAAGAAGGTTGGAGGATGTCATCTTATGAGAACCATAGGTCTGCAGATGTTCCTGCTAACTGTACTCACCTGAAGCTACTCTCAGTTGGGGTGGGGAGGAGGCACATGGACAAAGCTTCTTACCTTGCTTAGGCCATCAAACAGCACATTGAAGTGAGGCAGGACAGAGCCCCGGGCCACCTTGACAATGTTGTACAAGGCCTCGCAGGCATAGTACCGCAAACGGCTGTCAGCATCATTGAAGCACGTCAGCACTGGCTCTATCAGCTCCTTCAAGTACAGCCCAGAGTCCTGGGGGCAAAACAAGAGAGGGGCTCAGAGCCAGCGCTCGCAGACAGCTTGAAGAGGTAGGCTTTTTGTGGTCCACCATGGCACAGACATAACAGGTAAACATGCTTCAGCTAGCAGCTCTTCCAGGTGCATGTAGATGACACAGGCTGGCCCAAACTTATGTTACTATGATTTACAGTTCACAGAGGGTGCCATCAGATTTAGTCCTGTGAAAGCCTTTGATTGGCTACAAGCTGTGAGCCTCCAACACAGGAAACCTTTGCTACATCTCTTGAACTGATTGCATGTCACTTTGGCTTCCAAATAAGGATGTTGCCATCCTTACAACTGCCTTTAACCAGCACACTTGGAAACAATCCATGAACAGGCAAAGGCTTGAGATGTCTTCAAAAAATAAACAGGGTCATTCCTGAAAATAGAGACTTCAAGAGATACTGGCTGCATCAGAGGAGACCAGACAAGGTTCCTTGGGTGAATATGATATCTTTTATTAGACCAACCCAAATGGTTGGAGAATAGTTATTAAGCAAGCTTTTGGGTTCAAAAACCCTTCGTCAGGCTAAGGAAGCTTCAGCAGTTGGTGTGTGCTCTTCCTGGATGGAATGAAAAGGAGGAGACCATGCAGCTGAAATCCAATTTTGAGTTCAGGGGAGATCAAACAACTTGCTCCACTTGTAATTCAAACCAAAATGTAAAGCTAGGTTGAGGGAAATGTTGTTCCACAGGTTGGCCTTTGTGGCACACTGGGTACTGAGTAACCAGTCCCCTGATGTTACCCTACTGGTATATCTGACCATTGTTCCCATATAGGTGCCATGTCTGACCAAGCAGAGAGCTCATTTTGAGGAGGCATCCACTGCAAGAACTGGGGGCTCAGGGTCATGAGATTCATAAGTAATTTCTGAAGTAATTTTCATTTATTTTAGTCAAATTCTCTCTAAACACCTCCAAAAAAGCTAAGGGTGCTTGTCATAATGAAAATTATTTCCTTCCATTCATCCTCCCCAAGAGATTCCCACCCACCCCTGTGAAAATGACTTGTGCCACTTTCTGAACACACCTGGGAATGACTAGTGTGTGCCATAAAGGCCAATGCAGCCGAGTCAGAAACAAGTTTCCATCCAAAGACCCTTCATACCAGTACATACAGTCTTGCCAATAGGGTAAACATTCAGAGTAAACATTCCTACTGAAGTTAAGTCTTTTGAAGCGTTTTTGCAGCGATTCTCAGGCAGGTTTGATTACATAATATCTCAAAATGAAGTCTTACTCTCATATATTTTATGGGGGCGGGGAGGGGCAGCCACACCCCTGCACCCCCAGTGCACAGTTCCTGCTGGTGGCGGGAGCAGCAGCAGCAGGCGGCTCTTGGGGCACTCCTGGCCCATTGCAAGCAGAGGTCCCTGGGTGTCTGCAACTCCAGTTGAATCCAAGGAGCTGCACACGGTGGCAGAGCCAGCTTGGCCCAGCCCACTAGCATGTGCCTTCAAACCAGACTACGCTGGCTCTGTGCCAGCACACGGGGCTCCTGGCACTGTAGGTGGGGGCCATGTGCCACTGGGCCAGGCCAGCTCCATACCTCCACAAAGAGTTTCCAGCACTCTAATAGGAAGCCATGTGGAAGCATGGAGCCTACCCAGCCCAATGGCACACAGCCCGGGAGTTGAGGGGAGTTGTGCTCCATTGGGCTGGGCAGGCTCTGTGCCTCCATATGCAGCTCCCCGCTGGAGTGTTGGAAGCCCATGTGGAGGCACAGAGCCAGCCCAATGGCACACAGCTCTTGCCTGCAGTGTCAGGACTGTCCCATGTGCTGGCACACAGTGGGCTGGGCTAGGCAAGCTCCGTGCCACCATGCGCAGCTCTCGGGATTCAGCTGGAGCCACAACCCCCAGGGGGGCTCTGCCTGCAATGGGCCAGGAGTGCCCCAAGGGCCTCCTGCCTGCAGCTCCCACCAGCAGCAGGGGCTGTGTGTTATGAGGGGGAGGAGGCACCCCATACACCAGGGGAGGGCAAAATGCAGCCCACTGGCCAGATGTGGCCCGCCAGACTATTCTATCCGGCCCGTGGGGCCTCTAAAAAAATTTGCTATGTTAGTTCTGAGGCAAGAACTCCTTTCCAGTGCATCCAATAGGTTTAGCTATTATAGTGATTCACTGTCTCAGAAGAGGGAAATTAAAGGAATTATGCATGCCATTTCAAACAGGGATGCTTGTTAATAGAGTGTGGTATGCTACTGTATGGAGTGAAATGCTTTAAGAACATAATTCTAATAACTATTCTCCAACTATTTGGGTTGGTCTAATAAAAGATATCAAATTCACCCAAGGAACCTTGTCTGCCTTAAGAACATAAGAAGTGCCATTCTGGGTCAGACCAATGGTCCATCTAGCCCATTATCCTGTCTCTGACAGTAGCAGAAGTGGATAATAAACAAAATGCTATAGACAACGTCAAGGGTTGCCTCTCCTCCCTCCACCCCCCAGCTCTCCCACCCAGTCATCCTCAATATTTAAACATACAACCCAATAGAAAGGCTGCTGTGACTTCAGAGTGTGGATCTGGCTCTTTATGTACAAAACTGCTGCTTCACCAAACAGTTCCCAGCCCAGTCCTGCAGGCTTTACTCAGTGCTTTCAAATGGAAAGTGAGGAAAGGAGTAATGACAATAGCTCCTCATTTCAGGTCAGCTAGTTTTGCTTTGTAGCCAAATGTCACAGGAGGGTCTCAGCCAGTGGAAAGCCACATGGACAGGCATGTGCGATAGATGCTGCAAAAGGCTGTCTAAAACTAAGTTTAATAGGGTGTCTCTGTAAAAACAACTGAGGCCCAGAATGCTTTAGGCCTCTCACCAGGATGGAGCTATATTACGACCATACTTCAGTCTAGTTAAAATCCCATCTGTGCTAAAATAAGGTACCATATGTTGTGCCACTGCAGAGCATAGGGCCATGTTTTCCACTAAGCATATAAAGATGAAAATGACTTCCCCCTGCAGCATCCTTGAGTGCCAAGACAGTGCCAGGTTATCTAATAAGCACCCAGAACCAGTGCTCTCTCTCAAGCATTTGGCATACTTAAAGACTTTTACCTAGAGGATCTCATAAGAAGATTAACTTCTGCTGACAGTTTGAACGTGGACAGACTTCAGTCTCATTAACCTAGTTCATTATACTCCTGCTCATCTGTATTCTCAGCTTAGCACCACTGTTCATTTTTTATTCTTTTTCCTACAGTTAAAAATTTAGCAGCTGCAGTTAGACTGTTTCAGTTAAGCAGAACAGGGCTAGGAGGCACTGCTCCTTCTCATGAGGGTGAGCAGCACTGCTTCAGTGGCCTCTTCGTGTGAAGTGAAATCACTGATCCAAGCACTCTCCACCAAGTTGGCTCATAGGAAGCAGGCACTCGCATCCTATGGTGACAAGCACAGTCTAGGAATCCAGACACCTACCTTGCCAAGGGCGATGGAACAGGCTGCCAGGCCGATGAGTCCCCCTTTCCTGCTGTGAGGGTGCTGTGAAAGCGCAAACTCCTGTGACAAGATCTGGATCACATGCTTGATCTGGGTCGTGTTGCTCTGAGCCACGAACTCCCGTACTAACCTGAGGAGAGTGAAAAGCTTCAGGTTCTCTCTGACAAAAGTGCCCCCAACCCAACCCAACCCAACCCAACCCAACGTGCTCAGTTTGCATCCTTGCTCCCACAGAACATGGCACGGAGTTCAGAGTTCAGCAGTAAAAGCCAGAGACTCATGTACTGAGTAGCAGATGCCACAAACCACCCCAAGAAGTGTGGGCAGGACAAGGAACTTTCATTACAAACAGTTTCACTTGAACCCAGAAGTGAAAGCCTATAGTTACCAACAAAGCAAGGAGCTAAACAATTAACTGCCAGCTCCTCAGCCCCACTTCTCATTTTACCCACCCTGTGCCATTTCAATCCTGTCATAAAGCAGGGAAGCGTTTTGCCATGGGCGACCCTGAACCAACAGCATGGAAAGTCAGCCCAAGGCCTCGTCTCTATGGGGGAGGAATGTTCCTAGAAACAAACCTCATCTCCTCATCCAGGCCTTCACATCCAGAGCATCTCCCTCTACACCCAACTCTCTAGATCGATGATTCACCACCTTTTTAGATAAAAGGCACCACATGGTAATTTCCCTGAACTTAACGGCACCCTGGCATTCTGCCTTGGCTTACACCTCAGTGGTCTCAGCTGACATGCTGTCACTGCTGCAGCACCCTTGAAAGGATCTTGTGGCACCCCAGGGTACCATGGAAACCTGCTTGAAAACCAGTTCTAAAGACCCCTGCATCCTGCAATTCCAATGCATCCTGCAAGTTTCAAACTGCTGTTAACAACTCTGTAGTCATCCTTGAGCCCTCCAAGGACAGATGATTGCATCTAGCCTGCTGAGTATCAACAGCAAAGTGCTCAGCTGAAAAATCAAACCCCAAACATTGGCAACTCTGACCCAAAAAGAACATTCATGCACACAGCTCCCTGTGAGCACTCAGCTCCCAGCTGAGAACTGGACTGAGATCACGAGTAGGATTTCACCCTGGGCCAGGCCCTCACCCCTGTGACCTGGCCTGAAGGTTCCTTCATTATAAACCTGAAGGGAAGACCGCAGCTCTCCAGTTTTATTAGAAGCTGCACAGTCTCTGTAGAAGTTTTGCTTCAGCATTTTACTGCCAGAGCAGGAGGGTCTTAGAAACAGGGGTTCAGCATTTATCAATGTGAAAAGACACCCACTGCAGACACTGTACCAAAGATGAAAGCAGAGTCTACGTAGCCTGAGCACCAGGATAAAAGTAGTTCATCCCACCCACAAGCCATCAGCCCAAGCTAGGCCCAAGTGTTTGCCTTTGTAATGAAATCCACCTCCATTCAGAACTCTCTTGGATAACCCCTTAAAGCAATGTTTCCCAACCTTTTCCAGCCCAAGGCACACTTACATTAATAAGTTTTTTCTGCAGCACACCCGCTAAGGCATTCCTCATCTCCATATTTATGAGCTCTTTGCCACAGCAAAATTCCATGGCACAGCTGTTCAGAGGCTCGTGAACTGCGCATCCCCCACAACCAACACATGAGTGAGTCTTCTACAAATATCTCATCAACTCAGTTTATTTGTTAGCACTAGATGGCTGGAGAACTTTTTTCTCATTGTTCCCAAATTCTCACAGCACACCAGAGAGCTCTTCAGTGTGCTGTGGCACACCAGTGCTTTAAGGCAGTGCTTTTCAAAAGGAGTCCTGCCTTTTTGAGCATTGGTTTAAGAGTCTATGTGGCTTTTCAAGTTCAGGGGTATCTGTCCCATGGTCACTGCAAAAAGTTTCTTCAAACACTCAGACTAGTCCTGTGCTCAGTTCAGCCCAGTCTGTGCATCAATTCCAGACTGCCCCGGGAAGAAGGGCCCTCTACACAAGTTCTGAAGTCTATTCCATAGACTTGCAGTTCCACTTTGGATGAACCAGGTTGCTTGCTAGAGGGGAATGTGTCTGCTTAGCCTAATTATGGCTATTGAGAATGATTTGCCTAATTAGGACAAGATTAGCATACATTCCACTTGCTAGGGATAGATTTTGCTGGTGTCAGGTGGTGGTTAACTGGATGTTAAATAGATGTGAAAAGCTAAAATCTGCTCTTTTAATGTAAGAGTTGATACATAATGATGAAGTAGTTTAAGTGGGTGCTTCCATCAAGCACAAGTACCTGAAGGCTGGCACTTGTATCTGAAAGCTGCAGAGTGGAGAGAAACAGACACTGGAGTCCACAGGGCTCACACACACACAAACACAGGTGGATTGGGGCAAGCAGGGATGAGGATGGTCTGGGTCTAATGTGCAGACCTCCCTGTACAGACCATAGCAGAACAAGCAAGTATGTGATGGGACTCTTGCCCCCCAAAGTACACTCCATTTTACTATACGCACAGCAGCACCTAGTGAGCGTACCTAGGGAAGATTATTTGCCCCTCTTTGAGGCACCTGTCTATGCCCTCCATCCTGCAGGAGGCCTTACTGAAGGAGACAGCCATGTCTGGAGAGCAGGTCTCTGCAGGCTTGCAGGGCAGAAGCCAGGTCTACATGCAACAGAACTGAGTCATGGCAATTTAAAGCAAAGATATGGAAGTGTTGCATTCCTCACCACTACAGTAGCTGCATGCTCTAGAGTCCTTTGCCCAGGAGCTGCACTGCCATCAGGAGCTATTCCTCCCTGCCATCTTGATGCAAGAAAAACCTCCATCTGGAGCAAGATTCAGGGTGTGAGTTTCATTTTAGAGGGCAAGGTGAACCTCCCCTCCCCCATAACAGAAACAGATGCGAGTTTAGACCGCTCTACTCAACTCCTCCAAGCCCTGAAGCACCAAGGGGCAGGAGGAGGTGCGGGTGGTCAGCAACTGTGCAGCACTGAAGCTCGAACACAAACACTTTTCCATACTGAAAAGGACTCAGAAGAGAATATGAAAGTAATAAAGAGGAAAGCACAGCACATCGGGCCAATACAAAGTTTTGAGAGATACTTCTTGACCCATATTTTCAAAATGATTTTGTGTTCTGTGCCTGACAACTTCTTATTTATTCTGGACAGCGACAGCTAGTACCACAAGTTCTTGGAACCAGAACAGGGGTGCACAAGCTCTGGCCCAGGGGACAGATCTGGCCCACTGGGCTCCCCGTTGATTTGTGGAAAGCCCCATGGCTGTCGCCCGTGTGTTAGATCAAGTGTGCAGGGCAGGACATGCCCCAATCCCATTGCACAGGGCCAGGCAGAGGCAGCAGCAGTGTAGAGCTTCAATCCTAGCACGTAGACTGGCCCCACACCACTCATCTGGCCCACTGGGTCAAAAGGCTGACCACCACTGAATTAGACAAAGATTTCACACATCAGTATCCCTTCCTCCTCAAGACCTCACTACCCTCGCTTTTCAAACCTCACTACCCTGAGCTTTTTTCTGCAGTAACCAGAGGGTGCATTTGGAACAAAGTTATTCTGACCATGAATGACAAACTATCAACCAAAGTCTCAATTCTACAATTGCCTAAACAGCTGCATTATTTCACAGATATCAGATTAACCCTAAAGGGACATCTCTTTCTGCTTCTCCTCCCTTCCCATCTTCTAATCCCTTCCCCACTGCTGTTGGAGGTGTCAACATCACTGCAGAAACAGACTCAAAACAGTTGCCAAAGGAGAAGCCTTCCAGGCAAGGATTTATGGATTTATGGAGGGCTGCTCGCAGCAAAGCAGTACCAGTTCCTTCAGTCCAGCTGGATAACAGGTACGAGGCCCTGGCAACACTGCAGGAGAAAGGAGAGGAGGAAACCTCTAGTGGAGGCAATTCCACTCTCTTCACGCTCCGAACAGGCCAAAGGAGCCAAGCAGACCCGGAGGAGGAAGTGTCGAGTGATCGTCATAGGCGACTCTATCCTGAGAGGTACGGAGGGCCCCATCTGTCGCCAGGACCCCTCAACACGCGAGGTGTACTGCCTCCTCGGAGCAAAGATTCGGGACATGACGGGGATGATCCAGGCCGTGATCCAGCCTACCGATTACTACCCCACGGTCCTAATACATGTGGGTACTAATGATGTGGCCAGGAGAAGCCCTGATCACCTGATGACAGACTACCATGCTCTGGGGGGCGTGCTGAGGGAAATAGGAGCACAGGTGGTATTTTCCTCTGTCCTACCAGTGAGCGGACGTGGAAGACAACATGAGACCTGCATCAGAGAGACCAACTGGCGGCTTCAGGAATGGTGTCTCGAGGCAGGCTTCGGCTTCCTAGACAATGACCCGCACGTCACGATGAGAGACATGCTCGGGTGGGATGGGCTTCACTTTTCCCCCAAAGGTAAGCATGTGTTCTCTTCTAGGTTGGCTGATCTCCTCCGGCAGGCTTTAAACTAGGCTCATCGGAGGAAGGGGAAGATGAGGGTGGAGGAAGCCTGGGACCACTAAACCAAGCGTCACCCACAAGAACAGCCCAGCCTAGACCGACGACGAGCAGAACAAATACCCAGGTAAGCAACAGGGGCCCGGGTAGTACTGAGATTAGGGGGCCAGTGCACACATCTTCAGGAGGCCTCAAATGCCTCTACAGAAATGCTCATAGCATGGGAAACAAGCAGGAGGAATTTACCCTCCTGCTAGCTGACACCAAGCCAGACATAGTGGGGCTCACAGAAACATGGTGGGACTCAACACACAACTTGGCGGTGAATATCAAGGGCTATAGTCCCTATAGGAGGGACAGGACAGGGAGGAAAGGTGGGGGTGTAGCGCTCTACATCAAGGAGGAATACACATCCTCATCTAGTAGCACAAGGCCAGATGAGGGGGACACTGAAGTGCTCCGAGTTAGAATACAAGGGAGTCAAGGGGAAAGGGACTTAATAGTGCGGGGTCTACTACAGGCCACCCAACCAAGAAGAGCTAGACCGGGAATTCTTAAGTCAGCTCACAGAGGTAGTTAGGCCAAAGGACGTGGTCATCATGGGTGACCTGAACTTTCCAGACATCTGCTGGGAAGAGCAGTCAGCCAGGTCTGACCGCTCACATAGGTTCCTAGCCGAGATACAGGACCTCCATCTAA